ACATTTCGTTACCCGGCTAGGTAACATCTTCAGAGCTAGAATTCCAGCACTGAAGATGTTACCTAGCTGGGTAGCGAAACTTTTGCAAGAAAACAACCAAGCTCAGAGAACCCCAAGGACTCCACAGAAAATAACATTGTCCACTTTCTTTGTTCAGTGTAGAATTTTGTATTATTATTATGCACTATTATGGCTTCTTCTTTTCACCTTGTTTCCTTTGTTTTAGAAAGGAAGGTTGTAACCTTTCCTTTGGAAAAGTTGCTTTAGCCCCTTGATTCTTCTCCTTGACTTTTTCTGTATGTTCCCTGGTCCTACATTTTAATGCTGACCTGAACTGTACAGTTACTCAGTTGTCCACTCAGGCTGCATCAACCCCCCCCACACACACACACATGCAGACACATACTTTTGTATTGTTTTCCCCCAGTGCGTGTTACTTTACATTTGCTTACACTGAATTGCATTCAGGGTAGGGAGATTGTTTGAGTTTTTCACTGACTCTTTTTGTTTTGATCATTTTAAATCACTGCACAATTTAGTTGCTGAACAAATTGAAAACACTGGTCCAAACACAGGACTGTTTATACTCCTCCTATGCATAAGAGTAGGTGGATTTATAAAACAGTTTACCATCAGTTAATTCCATTATGGCATGCTTTGGGACAGAAGTTCAAAGTCTCATGTAGTAGAAAGAGCAGTAAGGCTCCTACCACAGCAAGTCTGATATGTGTGTGCATGTATATATGTGTGTGTGTGTGTGTGTGTCTGTCTGTATATATATACACACACACATACTTAGAAACACAATTTAAAAGATTTTCCCTGAGAAGCCCACTTATTTCAGAGTTTAAAGATTTTAAAGAGCATCATTGGTTTCTAATGATGTACATTTGATTCTTGCACAAAATGTTTGAATAATTTGGATGTATATTGTGCATTGAAATTTCTGGCTGAAATATCTCAGAGTGCTGATATCTTGAAAGTCTTCAAAAAAAACCATACTTTTCTTAGATCGATAATTGTTTAGCCTAATAACATTTTGGGGTATTTATAGTGTTCACTAACTTTTCCTAATATGCGCACATACATTTACCTGTATGCTTCCATTTTCTCATGTTTGTGAAGTTTTGCACCATTTGGGGGCCAGTGGATATATTAGGCTCTTCACCTTTGAATGAAAGTGAAAATATTGATACTGTATCAGCCTTGTATAAGCTCATTTATATGATTGAAGTCATAAAGGAAATCAACGGTGCTCCAAAATTATACCTTGTATCTCTGGTACAAAGGCTGATGAAACAGCAACAGCATCCCTTGTAATCAAGTGCTCTTGTGAAAAATACTCTAAGAAACCCTTCTTCTGTTCTCGAATGACAAGCAATTTAAGTCATTTCTACCTTTGTTTCTGTATCCTGTTGCTTATGGCAGTGCCTTGAACTTTTTGTTTGCCAAGGCAGAGCTCCTTTTGGGGGTGGAGACTGCTGTTATAGGAAAATGCAAAGCAAGGATTCTCAGATGGCCTTGGTTAGCTATTTTGAACGGAGTCTGTATAGGTTCTTCCCATCCTAGCATCTTGTGACCTTTAGAGAGGCTAGCAAAGAGAATACTTTCTGTTAGAAAATAGTGTTTTCTGTGGATACATTTCCAGATGCAATTTTTCAAGGCTTATCTCTCCCTGAAACAGATAAATCTTAGAGTAGGATGCCCCTCCTCAGAGCTGGAGTTTTCATTTGCACTGGCTTGTTTGCTCAGCATTCATTTCTTTTGTCAGTCCTTGAACAAACAGAGCAAATACCTGGATAAAATGCATTCATCTGGCTTTGAATACACATATATTACATACCCTTTTCTTGCTAATCAGTGTGACACATTCCTTTGTTGGCCAAATGGTTCCAAAACAAACACAATCATTTCACTTAATTAGCAGGGGTTGGTGGGCTGTGCCTGGCAGGCTTCTTACATCCTGCTCAAGGAGACACAAATCCAAGTTTGCTCTCTTAACACTCTTGTTAGACAATGCTCACAAATTCTTTTATTTTCTTTCTTATTTGAATTTTATGGTGCCAGGCCTTTCAATCATTTGTCTAAAAATAGAAGTAGTAGTAAATACAACAGAGGAAGCTATAATGAATGAGTTACAGTGGGGCAAAAAAGTATTTAGTCAGCCACCAATTGTGCAAGTTCTCCCACTTAAAAAGATGAGAGAGGCCTGTAATTTTCATCATAGG